AAAGCAATTGTCACGGCTGTTTTTCAACAAGTGTGAATGATAGTGAGATGGATGCTTCAGACTTGGAGGACATCCAGAAAATATGGTATGACTGGTTTCAGAAAAAGCTAGAGATTAATTTTAGTTGGTACTCTAAGCAAGAACTGTCAGCTGAAGCCAAATGAAGAGCATCAGCATGTGGTCAGAAGATGGGAGTCCCCAGTGGGGTGCGCGCCATCTTGATAGTGGCAAGTTTCCTCATACTGGTGGCAGATTGTGCTCAAGGCACCCATTTGCGGTAATTTTCAACAGTGAAAGAGAAAACAGGCACAGTAAAACCAGAGGTGGCCAGACAGAAAGTTGGGTGCAGCTAAAAGATGGGGAACCAAGATGGCCCCAATAGATGGGATAGTCTCCTGAGAAAGGGTATGGCTCACCGCAGCGCTCAACAGGAGTATTCTAATTCGGAGGTAAATTACAACAAAGGCTGTATCAGTCTTGTTTGTAATAGTTAACATCCAGATCCCTACTGGTGGTGTTCATGTAACGCTTGCATTCATTCCCCCAGACGAACACAAGAGGCCCCAAGGCATACCATGGTGTCATCTGGCGCGTGATGGTACGTGACCAAGAGATATACTTGCCACCTTCTCAATTAGCCCCACTAAAGTATGCAAAACGTATGCAAACACCAAAAGAATTCATTGGTGTTAAGCTTTCTCCGAGTGCTCAATGCGTAGGTGGCCCCCTGGCTATGACCTCATGAGGTAACCCAGCATCATGACTATTCAGAGGGGCAGGGGAGAGGGAGGCTGAAGGACATGTCTGTTACATACAGCACTGATGTTACCTGTCTGTCATGGGTTTGGAGGGAAAGTTCCATCCTATGGGGAGTGGAAGGCGGGACATCAGGAGGAGGGGCTGTACTGTATATATAGGTGAAGCGTGTGTGGAGAGGAGGAGACGCTGGGATGTGACGAAGCAGCAGCTGGGAAGAAGAAGCTGGTGTGGGAGTCTGTGTGTCAGACAGGGTACTACTGTGTGTCAGTACCAACCTGATAGGTTCAGGTGTCTGAATGGTTAGCCAGAACTGATAGGTTCAGGGTCTGTGCTTCAAGTTAAGGGTTCTGTGTGAACCAAACTGTGTGTATGTATGAGTGAAACTAAGCCACGTTACTAAATCTTATTCACCTGATCATTTTATTTTCCCTGTGTGTTGTATTTAATAAACCTTGTTCTTTTATTTATGAAAATCCATCCCTGGTCTGTGTGACTTCTTATAGGGAATGGTTGGTGGCAGCTTAGTTAACGTGTGGCATATCCCAGTAGGTCTGGGTTTGTCACACAGAACTGATAGGTTCAGGGTCTGTGCTTCAAGTTAAGGGTTCTGTGTGAACCAAACTGTATGCATGTATGAATGAGACTAAGCCACGTTACTATATCTTATTCACCTGATCATTTTATTTTCCCTGTGTATTGTATTTAATAAACCTTGTTCTTTTATTTATGAAAATCCATCCCTGGTCTGTGTGACTTCTTATAGGGAATGGTTGGTGGCAGCTTAGTTAACGTGTGGCAGATCCCAGTAGGTCTGGGTTTGTCACAATGTCTACCACCTCTGTTCAGACCAGAGGTACAACCTGAACTGTGGACCTCCCCATTCACGTTTTTACGCAATTCGCTGTACTGGTTTCCACGCACATCCCCAAATTATGATGAAAATGAAATAAACAGGACCGTGAAAGTAACATCAAGAAAACTGCGCCGGCCACCACAGACTCAAAAAGGGGTTCCCACCAGGGGCTCTGGCTGGAAAAGAGCACTGGAACAATGTTGAAACAGGGAGCTTGGCAACCTTTTCTTCCAAGGTTCTTGCCTCCACTTCTTGCCGTTCTGGGAAACCATTGGCTCTCCAGAGGTTTTAGACTACGTCTCCCATAACCCCCGCCCACTGGCAAGAGAAAGGAGGGGCGATGGGATTTAAAATCCAAAACAATGGAAAGCCTACAAGCTTCAAACTCCCATTTATATACACGGGATAAGAATGTGTTTGGTTATCCCTGTATTATGGACCGGCCTGCTTTACACCCGTACCCAGTCATGCCATATTTTTAAGAGCTGCATTTGCACCCATTCCTGCGTCACTCGTTGCTCTGAGAAACATGAACATCTGAAAAAGCCTCTTGTGCCCTCTCAGGGTCACTTTAGAAACCTTAAAATAGGGGAGGCTCACAACGGCCTTTGGCTCCCGGAGGGCACAGTCCACATTTGGCCGGCTCCTCCTATAGAAATTCACCCTCCTCCTACAGCCGCCACTGAGATTTCCCTTTTTGTTACCCACAAACGGTTCCATTTCCATCATTGAAGAGACTTAGGAACGGCAGGCAGGTCTTGCTAAGGAGCCTTGTGGCACAGTGGTTAAACTGCAGTACTGCCATCGAGACGCTGCTCGTGACTTGAATCCGATTCGATGGGCTCAAGTTGCTGGCTGGAGGTTCACTCAGCCTTCCTTCCTTCTAAGATCAGTCCACTGAGTACGTAGATGGCTGGGAGCCGAGACGCTGCTCGTGACTTGAATTCGATTCGGGTGGGCTCAAGTTGCTGGCTGGAGGTTCACTCAGCCTTCCTTCCTTCTAAGATCAGTCCACTGAGTACGTAGATGGCTGGGAGCCAGAGAAAAAGTACACTCTGCATCATTAACTTGCAAACCATCCAGAGAGTGCTTGAAGCACTAGGGGGTGGTATATAAGCAGCACACTTTGCTGCTTGTGCAAGTGAAGGAAGAAAAACCAAATGGACCCAGGCTATTCAGATTCAAGACCCAGAAACAACTGGAAGGCAGTGCATCGGATATAAATAGGCCTCATAAGGTTCATCTTGCCCAATGCCAACACAAGCCTGCCCACCACGGGCCATGCCCACAACTGCCCCAAACGCTCTTAGTGGAGAGCCACCATAATACAGTAGTGCCCCGCATAGCAACATTAATCAGTTCCAGATTAATTGTTGCTATGTGGAAACATCGCTAAACGGAACGGAAAAACCTTCATTTAATGCGTTCCTATGGGGCCCAAACTCACCGTTCAACAAAGATCCTCCATAGCGCCGCCATTTTGCGCCCTCGGTAAGCAAGGAAATCGCGTGAAAATGGTTGCGGCAGCCATTTTGGGCACCCGGCAGCCATTTTGGAACTGCCAATTAGCTGTTTCAAAAACATCGCAATGCGAAGATCGGTAAGCGAAACGCTTACCGATCATCGCAATGCGATGTTTTGCCCATTAAAAAATCGCAATGCGATCGCATTAGCAATCTAAAAAAATAGATCGCTATGTGGATTCATTGTTAAACGGTGCGCTCGTTATGTGAGGCACCACTGTAGATGGCCCACAGGCTGAGCTCTGAATTCAGACATCTATCTCTCCTCCCCCGTGAGCTGAGCAGGAGACACCTTTACCTAAGGACTTTCTAACGACGGCAGCCCTAGAGGTAGGCCTAAGACAGATCACACGTCACCCTCTCGGCGGCCCAGCCTCACCCCTTCTGAGCCCCTCAACCCTTTCTTTGAAAGAACATTGTTTAACATAAGAAAAATGCATGAGGAAAAAAAACCATTTAATCAACTCCTTAATGATTACTTTAATATTAATCACTGAATGAATCACCCAAGTTCAACAAAAAATGTCTTTTTTAAAAACCTAAGATGCCACATCCGGCATTTTAAAAAATGCTGTGTTTGAAGCTGATGGGGGCTTTCGGCGAAACCAGAAGTGGGCAGCCTCTGGATATGGGGAAGTCGCCCATTTCAGCAAAACTAAGGTGGTTGCCTCAGGCAGCATACATGGGAAGGCGGCAAGAAGGTGCCAGGAGGAGAGATTTGAGGGCCCTGCAGCCTGCCCCACACCTTCTTCCCTCAGGCAAGGTGCCCTCAGTTGTGGCACAGGACGCCATTTCGCTGTCACTCTTGGGAGACCGAACAGCAAGCTCCACGGCTTAAGTCTCTGGCTGTGGAGCCAGAGGTTGGGAGTTTGATTCCCCCACTGGGCCTCCTTGGCAGGGGATGGACTCGATGATCTTCAGGATCCCTTCAAACACTGCAGTTCAAAAATGATAAGCCCACTTGGTTTTGGTCGATGGAACAGGTGGGAGTACCACTGCATTATTTACCTCAGGCAGCAAACAACCTTAGGTCACCCCTGCAGTTCGAACCATACAGGATTATTGAAAGAATGACTCACCTTAAGGAGTCTTCATATATCGTTTGTTTGTTTCATGTTTTTTTAAAAACCTCTATGCAACTCTTCTTCAAATAAGATTTCTGGGACAATCCCTCAAATTGCCTTAAGAATCAGGTGGAGGTGGGTGACGGGGCCCCAGAGCCTGCTACCATTGCCGCTGAACTGGTTTGATTCTGGTTTACAAAATACGACCTTTTATTGTAATTCCTTGTACTGTACTTTGCTCATACTAGATGTGTGCCGATCCGTTCCTCGGCTTGGCCACTTGATGGCAGTATGGGATCACTCATCCTTGAAATATGGCATTAGCACTAATCTGCCACAAGAGGGTGCCACAGTAAAAAAAATACCGTATGCTATGCTAAGCATCAGTGCTCAGATCAGGTGCGTGTAACCCACTATGAAACACCAAAAAATTGGCCATCATTATTTTCAAGGGGGTGGGGGTGGGCAGCAGAGTTACTCTGCTGCAGCAAAACCATCTCCAAATGCCAGGCTGAAGCCTACAAACACACATTCCAAAGTGCTACGAGACTCTTCGTTGTTCTCATCTTTTTGGCCTATGAGCTAACACTGCCTGAACACTTTAAAAGCTCATTCTAGCAGAGCGCTGTCAGCTTCTACTGCCTTCCAGAGTGGAACAGAACTTCCTCACATCTGCCTTGCAGCTACAGGGTCTACTCCGTCGACCTCTGTGAGACATTACCGTCTTGATGTCCAGGCAAAAAATGATGCTGCTTTTGTTCCAGTGCATATCATTTTATTAAAAATTAATAAAACACTTACCTCCCAAGCCTGCAAGAACTTGCATTCTATTTCCAAGTTAACACGGATATGAACAATTGAGCAAGAGGTTCATCTTCTGAAGTCCACCGGTATCTTTCTTCTGATCCTATACAGAAACAAAAAGATTAATTTTACACAAACCCAGAAACTATTTTCTTAACAAGAATTGTATGCCTATGGCCCTTTATCTGTTCCTTAATTAGGACAAACAGGCCCCGCTCTCTTGTATCTGTAAACAAGGAATCTGGCAGTCCCTTGTTCAATTACCTCATAAATTTGTCATCTGGATTATTTGCTGACTAATTACAAGGCATATTACCACACACATTTGTAAACACTTGGGTATCTGCCATCCAGGAAACAAAACAGAGGCATATGTTTGTCAATAAGAGCACATTTGAAACAATGAGTAAACATATCCTTTCGAAGAGGTAGCATCACTGCAAGATACTTCTAATTATTAACACAACATTGGTAGTGCAGGAGGCAATTTACAGCTCTCCTCCGGAGAACTCTGACAAACTGCAATTAAGCTCATTGATTATCACCGAAGGCCAAACGGCTTTTCCAACCCACAGGAGCAGGAGAAGATTCAAACCTGCATAACTCAGATGCAAACTAATAATCCAAGCAGATTAGATTATTACAGAAGACGTGGGGAAATGTGCTTTCTCTCAAGGTTATATAAACATCACATGTGATCAAGTTAATTCTCCCCAAGGTTGCCTTTGTCTAAAATATCCATAATTTATTTATTATTATTTATTTAAAATATGTTTAACCTGCCTCTGTCCTTAAAAAGGACCAAAGGTGGCTTATAACAATTAAAAGACGGTAAGAACATTAAAAACAATGAATATACAATACTAAAAGGATCAATGAGCACAATACCAAAAACCCATCTGCAACACCAAAATACATTCAAGGCAGTAAAGTTCAACAATGCATTTTTTAAAACCCACTCAGGCAGTCATTGACTCAGAGAAAGCTTGCCTGAAGAGAAAGGTCTTTGCCTGCTTGCAGAAGGGCAGCAAAGATGGGGCCAGCTGGGCCTCCAGTGGGAGGGAGTTCCAGAGTCTTGGAGCAGCCACAGAGAAGGCCTTCTCCTGTATCCCCATCAGACATATCTGTGAAGGTGGTGGGACAAAAAGAAAGGTTTCTCCTGATCATCATAACATAAAGGAAGATGCAGTCCTTGAGATAGCTTGGACCCAAGTAATTTAGGGCTTTATAGATGAGAAACAGCACTTTGGATTCAAATTCTGCCAAGGCATAGATCATCAGCCAGTGGAGCTGCTGTAACAGGGGGATTACAAATAGTTTAATAATCTCCCCTGCTGGTGATGATCCGGGACCCAGCCAAGGCCATACAGGTGGCAGGGCATTTAACCCTCTCAGATACAAATGCTCCACAGGATCTCAGCGAACCCATTTCCTAGAAATCGCAGTGAGGATATGAACTCTAAACACCCAGCTCTGCAACCAAGTGTTCCAACCGATAAGGTATATACCAGCTCACCGTATACAAGAGTACATTATTGTTATTAGGTGCCACCAAGTTGTCCCAATTTACAGGGTTTTCAACGTACAGGAGATGTTCAAAGAGTGAATGATCCTTGCCATGCACACACCCTAGCAGGTATTTGAACCCAGATCTCCCAAGTCTGTGTCTCGGTGTCGTACTGAGTTACCTAAACGAATCTACCCAAGCAGTGCACAGTACAGAGACACAATCACAGCACAATAAAATAGTAGATACACAGCATACCTAGATAAACAATTGGCAACATCAGCCCACCAGATCAGCAAACATTTCTTTGAGCACATCTGGTTGAAAGCAGGTGTTATTAAGATGTGCCCACAGATCATAATTCAGATTATTCCTAGGGGCAGACTATTCTAGACAGCAGGGAGAACCACATTTAACCATTTATTTTTGAGTGAACAGCATATTAATCTGGAGGCATGAGGATGGCCAAAAACTAAACACCCTCCCTGTCTTTTGGTAGACAGGAAGTCCAAAGACGAAGCTGGATCTTATGTCATTCTCTGACTCTGTCCTAGAACATCCAGCATGATGAACCCTCATTTCACGGAAATTTTTCCCCAGCCTCGCTCCATATCGCTCATTGGGGGGCAGCAGTTAGAAAGTGTAAAGACATCATTATGGCATAGGGTTGATTTTATTAAATATTACCCCCCCCCCCAAAAAAAAGTAGGACAATAGAATGGCTAGTTTCATTTTCAGTACAGGTTCTGTCTCAGCCATTCTTTTAGATTTTCCCAGCAGGATCTCGTTGCCAATTTGTGTGTGTATTAAGTGAAATCCCATTCACAGCACTGAAGCGCCCCTAATTAACAAGGTGCTGGTTATATACCTGCTTGTGCACCTAATCAGGGGATAGACATGCAAGCAAGAAAGCAACTGGCATCATGTTAATTGGGGGCAACTCACTGCTGCTGGTTTAATGCAACGTCACTTAAAATTTGTAAATTACTATAGTAATAGGATTATGGTGGTGAATAACACTTACACAGACTGCTAACATTACACTATGTCTTTCCTCTCTATCAGTGCTCTCTGCAAGATGAGCAAATGTTAATTTCCATCCAGTGTTTTGCTCCTCCTAAATTGCCATTCACTTTTCAAGCATATCATATGAAAATGAAGTTCACAATGTTCAACATCTAACGGTTCTCTCTTTCTATGTAAGGAAAGCCCTGATCACCACTGATCTTGGGGCAGTTTTCTGCTAGATGAAAAGGCCAGAATCCAGAGAAGACAGTTTCCATGTGGTCTTTTTTTTCTCATTTGAAAAGATTTCTCATCTGCCCATCCACAATGCAATATGCTTTAGAGCCAAGTTTTGACCCTCAAGTCACTACTACTACTAGTAGTAGTAGTATCCCCCAAAGGTAGAGGATGATGGGAGCTGCAGTCCTTCTCTATCTGAAGCCCAGAGGCGGAGAGGAGGGCTCGCTTTTGGGGGGGGGGATGCTGATAACCCTTCGGGGCGCAGGAGAGGGTCCTTCCCTCCAGCCCGAAAGGAGGGCTCTTGTGACCCTAAACGCCCCGTTTAGGGTCACAAGAAGCCCCGGTCCATTCCTGAACCGCTTCGCCCTGGGGGGATGATGGTGCCTCTCCTTCCTTGCAAGGGAGAAGGCAAGGCTGAACTTTACTCCCGACGCCTGGGAAGCAGAGACACCATCATCCCCCAAAGGGCACAAACGGGCCATTTAAACCCGGGGTTCTCAGTCTCCCGGGCCACTCGGGGAGGGGGGTGTGTTCTTGGGACTACAACTCCCAGCAGCCCCGGCCAGCAGAGCTTCTGGGAGTCGCAGTCCGAGACCACCTGGGGTCACCCAAGGGGAGAACCGCGGGTTTAAAGGCTACGCCTGCACTTTTCTTTTGAAGCGGAGCCCAAAATGCAGGCAAACATCCCCACTTTTTTACCTGGCCCGGGCCATTTTACTGACTTTCCATCCAAAACGGTAAATATCACATTTGCAAAGGTGGGCGACATGCCACCCACTGTGAAACAGCCCGAGGGGGGAAAATACCTAAGCATACGGAGAGAGTCAGCCATTCGCACGTGCTTAAAAACCCAGGAACGCTCAAACGACGCGCCACCGTCACCTCCTGCGAAGGGTTAAAAAAAAATAAGAGCCGGCCTCTCGCGCTCCCGACGTTCCTTCCGGCTCCAGACGCCGCCTCTCATTGGCTGCCTCCTCACGACAGGACGGCGCCGTCGCCCAAATAAATTCTACGCTAGGACGATTCGGTAGGAGGGATCGAGGGGCGTGGCTTCCCACCCGAACTCGCCCTGTCAATTATAAAGAGAAGAGCGATGACGTACTTCCGGTCCTCGTGAGAATGCCAAGCTAGAGAGGAGAGTACAGACGGTGCGAGTTCTTTTTTTCCCCCCCAACTCGACTTTGCGCCGGAAACTCGCTTGGGGGCCGGAAATGTTTGCGGTTTGTGTGACACTTTCTGGCAGTACCCTTTGGCAGGAAGTAGCGAAATAGGGACGGGGAGGGGGGGGAAATGGCTAGGCGGCCTTACCGTTAGAAGGAATGGCGCCTGCGCAGACGGCTTCTAAAAGTAGTGACCGCTAGAGGGCGGTGCCGTACCGAGTTACCGACTAAACCTGTCCAAAAGAATGGCGCCTGCGCAGACGGCTTTTAAAAGTAGTGACCGCTAGAGGGCGGTGTCGTACCGAGTTACCGACTAAACCTGTCCAAACTCATGGGGCTTCATTGCAGTCGACAAATAAAACCTCAATTCACTTCCCTCTCTGAGTATTGTTGTTTAGGCCCTCCTGTCTTCCACTGCCTCCTGGACTTGGGTTAAAATCATGTTGGTTAAGAGCAAGAGCAAGAGATTCGTCTGGCGCCGACGCTGATGACATATCGGCGCCAGGTCAAAACCTTCCTGTTCCAGAAGGCTTTTAATTGAAATAATATTAGCTGTGGGTCTGATGGCAATTTTAATTGTATTTTAATTATTTTATCTTTTACTGTGTTGAATTTTAATTATTGTAAGCCGCCCAGAGAACTCTGGGTAGTGTGGGCGGCATATAAATTGAATTTTTTTTAAAAAAGAGAGATTCTGTTGATTCTGAAATAACTTCCACTATGTGAATGCAACATTGTACATAAATAAGCCAAACAGAAAGTGCTGAACAAATACAGTACTGTGTTACAAAACAAACTCTATTTTAGCAGTTATATTTTTAAAAAATTAAATCTAGTGGTTTACAAAAGACCAGGACCAGGATTCAAAGAGCTCCTTGTTGTTGTTTAGTCATTAAGTCGTGTCCAATTCGTGACACCATGGACCAGAGCATTTTTTTAAAAAAGAGAGATTCTGTTGATTCTGAAATAACTTCCACTATGTGAATGCAACATTGTACATAAATAAGCCAAACAGAAAGTGCTGAACAAATACTGTGTTACAAAACAAACTCTATTTTAGCAGTTATATTTTTGAAAATGAAATCTAGTGGTTTACAAAAGACCAGGACGAGGATTCAAAGAGCTCCCTGTTGTTGTTGTTGTTTAGTCGTGTCCGACTCTTCGTGACCCTATGGACCAGAGCACGCCAGGCCCTCCTATCTTCCACTGCCTCCCAGAGTTGGGTCAAATTCATGTTGGTTGCTTCGATGACACTATCCAACCATCTCGTCCTCTGTCGTCCCCTTCTCTTGCCCTCACACTTTCCCCACATAAGGGTCTTTTCCAGGGAGTTTTCTATTCTCCTGAGAAGGCCAAAGTATTGGAGCCTCAGCTTCAGGATTTGTCCTTCCAGTGAGCACTTAGGGTTGATTTCCTTTAGAATGGATAGGTTTGTTCTCCTTGCAGTCCAGGGGACTCTCATGAGTCTCCTCCAGCACCACAATTCAAAAGCATCAATTGTTCTGCGGTCCAGCTCTCACTTCCATACATCGCTACTGGGAAAACCATAGCTCTGACTATGCAGACCTTTGTTGGCAAGGTGATGTCTCTGCTTTTTAAGATGCTGTCAAGGTTTGTCATCACTTTCCTCCCAAGAAGCAGGCGTCTTTGAATTTCGTGGCTGCTGTCACCATCTGCAGTGATCATGGAGCCCAAGAAAGTAAAAACTGGCACTGCCTCCATATCTTCCCCTTCTATTTGACAGGAAGTGATGGGACCAGTGGCCATGATCTTAGTTTTTTTGATGTTGAGCTTCAGACCATTTT